ACCTGGGTTTATTCCTGTCAAGAAGTGGAAAGTTTAATAATGCAAAAAAAACATTTAACCCAACAAGCATCAAAAGCAATGTATGGAGTCTTACGTAAAATTAGATATTTTAATTTATACCAATTAATTGTCAGTTAGATTTGTTTGATAAAGTCATCAACCCAATTTTACTTTATTCATATGAAGTATGGGGATATGAAAATTTAGACATAATAGAAAAAGTACACTTGAAATTTCTGAAATTTATTCTTAATCTTAAATCTAGTACCCCGAATTGTATGGTGTATGGAGAAACAGGTAGATATCCTCTGTCTATATTTATAAAATTAAAAATAGTTATGTACTGGGCAAAAATTTTAACAGCTCATGAAAGTAAGCTTACAAATGTTATTTATTCATATTTTAATAGATGTTATAGTGATGGGTCGTTTGTACATCCATGGATAAAATGTGTACAAGATGTACTAAATTCTTGTGGATTGTCCTATGTATGGACAAGTCAGTCATTTATTAGTTTTAATTGGCTTAAGTCAATCATCAAAGATACCTTAAAATGTCAACTTGAACAAGAATAGAGAAGCATTGTTGATAGTTCATCCAAGTGCATTAATTATAGAATTTTTAAAACAGATTTTGGTTTAGAAAATTATCTGATGAATTTACCAAAAGATTTAAGAGTTACACTTACCAAACTCCGAACTTGTAATTATCATTTGCCAATTGAAAAGGGTAGATGGCATAATATTGAGAGAAATTTAAGAATATGTACCATTTGTGATTTTAAAACTGTTGGTGATGAATATCATTATATCATGGAATGTAATTACTTTTCGAAAGACAGAAAAATATTTCTCCCAAACAGTTATTGTAATAATCCTAACACTTTCAAATTCAATGAACTTATGAGTAGTAATAATGTAGAAATACAAAAATCATTATCAAAATTTATAAAGAAAATTTTTAAAACTGTCTGTCCTTCTTGAATCCTCCGTGTGTTTTATATTACAGATGACTACACGTTTTTCTCACTCTTTTCTTGTTTCTTTATATACTTGTCTATTTCTTGACCCTTGACTGTAATTTTTGTTTGTATATATGTATCTCTTGTACCAGTGATCTGGTTTTGAGCGAATAAAGAATAGAATTGAATATCTTATCCCCTCTAACATTTGCCTCCCTTTGTCTTTGAAGACCATTTCTAGGCCGATTTAGAAGTGAACCGCCACAAGAAAGTTATCATGTTTTATATCTCCATATCTTTCATGTAAGGACAGATCGGTATAAAAGATGAAAAACATGTCTTATTTCGTTGTAAAATATATGAAAATATCAAAGAAACCCTTTTTCATAATGCTATTAATTTAAATAGAAATGTATCTCCTGTTGAAAATTTAAACACTAATAAAATTTATTATGACAAACTGCCAAATTCTTAAATGTATGTTTTTTCAGTAAGACAAAAATATTTTTACCAATCAAATTAATGCCATGCGCGCTATCTTTAATCGATTATGGAAATATTATACATATATTAAAATTTCATATAGGTTCAATAGACCTGGTGTAATGTATATACGTCTATATTTTATCTACTTGTTGTTGTGGAAAACTATACACATGTCAATATAATAAAATATTTACTTTCTAACTTACAGTTATCATGAAGGATATGGAGATAACGAACAGTATTCACTATCAAGTTTTAGAAATTGTTCATACGTAGAGCATGCTCTTGCGTACTAGTATCGATCATCAATCGAATCAACTGAGATATACAAACGCCGTATGCAGTTGATGAAGGTATTATCATCAGTATGTATCATCTACAAGACTTAGTCTACATGAGAATTAAGAAACTATGAAGTAATTTTTTTAAATACTCAGTAGATTATTATGAAAATTCTTGTATAATAGTTCTGTAATTCAAGTGACCTATCAGGTACATTATTAACAGTATTTAATTTTCACAGATTAATAACACAGAGGAATAACTTTTTACCAATAGAATACAAAGTAATAGATTGAGAAAATTTACAGGTTAAGCTATTCTTACCTATTACGGAAAACGTATTAATATTATATATGTTATAAGCAAATGTAACTTTAATGTAGCAAGTATGCGAGCGGATCTAACATCTAATTTTAGTTAGATTGAATTACTTAAGTGATATCTTTGAAAACTTTGATTTACTTTGGGGATAACATTGACACTACATGTAAGATAAATTTGATAAAACAAAATTTTCAATTAGTAAATCAAAGTTTTCATAATTCATAATTATCACTATAGTATATCAAAGTTCACATAATTATCACTATACTAAATCACACTGTCAAGTATATTGAATCATACATACAGAATCCATACCCAAAACAAGCCAAAGCTTAAAGAAATGAGATATAATTCATAATATAAACATAAAATAAAGATAGTAGACCGAACACCATACTTCACCATGTAATCAACAGTCTTAAAAAAAAAAAATTCCACATCTGGTTGATGCATCAAGCTGTAAAAATGATACTAGTACATCTTTTTTCATCATTAAATTTAAAAGTTTGGCAGTTTGTCTTTGATGAGTTTTCATTAAAGTGTTTAAATTTTCAACAGGAGCTACATTTCTATTTAAATTAATATCATGAAAAAAAAATCTCTAATATTTTCATAGATTTTACATAAAATAAGAAATGTTTTTCATCTTCTAATCAATTCGTCTTTACATGAAACATATGGAGATGTAAAACATAATAACTTTCTTGTGGCGGTTCGTTTCTGCGTTTCTATCGTAGCGGAAGGATACCACATCTAAGCTGATCCATTACGGAGCGTTCTTGTTTTTTTTTTATGTAAATAATAAAAATTGGGACAAAAGACAAAGGGAGGCAAACGTTTGAGGGGATAAGATGTTATATTATAGTGCTCAAGATCAATCTTTTGTTTAGTTTTGTCCGCAAAGGTATAGTGACAAAGGGTGAGAAAATATAAGCACGTAAATATATCAACTTTAAAATTCGTTAATAAACACCTGAAAATACTTATAATAATACTTTGCTGATCGTTGATCATCATCAGCTTACTTTGTTTTATCTTGTATATATTCTTTGGATCCTTTACAACTTCACATATACTCATGGGACTGTGAAAGTCCTTGTGCCTTTTGTTTTTTTATACCTTTCTGAAGGTTTTCTTTCAAAATACTCTGTTTTATATTTCGTTTTTAATCTCTCTCTATATATACATTGTATATATTTCTTTCAAAGATTAATTCTCCTTTATTCTTTGGGGGAAAATACTCTCTTTGTACATCGAGTTCTTAAACATATCTTGCTTGTGTTTTTGTGCCAAGAATCTATGTATGTTGAAAACCTAAGTTTGGTGAAAAACCAGATAAATAACATAGTTATTGTTTAGGAAACAAATTGTTCGCTTCTATCTGCAGATAATTTTTCAATTTGGCTTTAGAGTTAAAAGGTTAACCAATTTGCCAAATTGAAAGCCTTTCAGTCGACATGTTCTTGATTACTAACTAGTATATCTCATTTATAGCCTCCTAACTATTCGGCAATGAGAAAATCAGAGGCAGTTAACAGGAGAAATTACGGTCATGAAATAACAATACTATCGTGCAGCTATATATAATTTGTTACGTTAATAGCAGAAATGAAAATGTTAAAGCGGACAATTAATTTCTGTAATGCGGCTAAGTGACATATTTATTATATGTGTTAATTTTGGCTAGTGAATGTCATATACAATATCAGTTGAGAAAGGATATTTCATGCAAATTTTCTTTTTCTTCTTTTTGAATATTTCTTCTTTTTTATTAACTTTTAATATTTTCTCAAAATATCTCAGGAGGTTACTTTCACAAAGACAAGGAGAGAATTTAAGAAAGATATATAAAACAAAAATAGTTTCCCCCTTTCCAGATTACAAATTATAGACAAGTTTATGTATATCAGTGTTATGATCAGTGATATGGTGGTTATTAATTATGAAAGATACATGTACGCGTTTCTTGAAAATAATAATTTCTCTACTGAGAAAGAATTTAACAAAATGAATTGTATGATAAATAACTGTTATCTTTTAAATTTATTTAATATTATGAAGAATAATATTTTATTCATTAAACATCTATAATTACATGTACTAGCAGGTAGTATCGAGTGATATTTCGGCGAATTAAAGAAATGTACCTTTCAAAGTCTAAATTTGGAGGGAATTCAACATTTCGCTTTTTATGTTTTTTATTTTGACCGTGTTGCTACAATATTATTTTCATTTCGATATGAAAATTTATGTTTACAGCATTTTCATTTGATTTTACAGTATCTTTAGCATTAAGAACTGGAGTCTGAAAAATCATTCCATTGTTCTGACTAATAAAAATGAAAATTACAATTATTGAACAAATTGCCTCTTATCCATGATTCATTGCCGATTACAGAGCATAGAAAGGTTTACTAAAACGATTAAAGCAAATGCAAAACTGTAATTTTCAAGTCAAACAACGAGGAATATATAATTTTCCCTCATTGACACAAATTATGTATCTTTATATTACTTTGACTATTGTAGCTTAAAATGACACAGAACATTATTTGGCGTCCGGGGCCAATTGTCCCAATATAAACGTCATTTCATTGAAAATTGCTGACCACTATGTGGCTATTAGCTAGGGAACGCGTCATGATGCATGACGTGAAAGGTTAAAGGTAACGGTTGATTGGCAGCGATACAATAGAGCGGGTCTGAAACCAATATTGCTGATAGAAATCAAAATTCTGGGGTTTCTTAGAGTTAACAATTAAACATCACATGAACGAAAATCATCAGGCATATTTTTACTTCCAATTCTTTGTTTCAAATATGGATTGAAAAATTAACAACACTGTTTGATTGCGCGCGCGTAATTTCCCCGCAGAAATTTGACACGCGCACCAGGGTGTCGTGTACGCAATGCACAGCTGCACGTGTGCACAGGTTTAAAATTAAGTGACGTTTGATGCATTAAGGGGTCATCGGTTGATGCGATAATCCACGGTGACAACACATCCGGGAGGAATTATACGGGTAGTGCTACGGCCGAACTGTTGCCGAGTCTTGCTGGTTAGCAAGAGGGGAGGACAAAAATGACAATCCCCTAATGATAAAATTAATAGTCCCACTCACAGCCAATTATTCCCTCGTGTAAGCAACTTATTGCATGATGTGGCCGTTAGAATAATTAAATTAACTTCCCAATAATTTGTCAATTATATCTCGTAAACGCTCACATAAATTTAGTTATGACTGGCGAATCTCGACAAAATTGAGCATTGATATAGCTAGATAGCTTAACGGAAAGTTTTCCAGTCATTTGGGGAAATCAGAATTTACTCTAAGGATAAAGTTTGGATCATGAAGACAACTGCAGGTCTAAGTAAGTGTTATTTTTTTCTCTCTCACTTACATATATAATTAGATATATAAAGGGATGCAATAATTTATCCAAATATCATCATAACCTTGCGTTCAAATTGCCAATTTGTATAAGCTGTGTTGTAATTCATGAATATACTATTATAGACTCTGGTCATACTTGTACATTTCTCGGTCTTTACTTGCAGATTTTCACAGCTTCAGAAAAATGCAGAATTTTTCCTCGATCCATCAACAGGGGGCCACATCAGAAGATGTATCCAAACCCAAAAAGCCCAGACACAGGTAAAACAGTTAAATTGTCAGTTAAAATATTTATCTTCCAAATCTCCGAAATTTGTATTCAAAGCAACAAACATTATTTCAAACAGTTTTACAAAAGTGCGAAAAGCTGCTACAGTGTACATTAAGGTACATTTGTTTTAATTTATTAATTTGCTGTTCACGAGTTTTAAGAATTTTAGGGAAGAAAAATGATTTATATTATTCATTGATTGATTTATTTATTTTTGTATAATTATATTTAAAGGAAAACGCATTGTAGAATTTTTGAATGAAAATATTTGTAATATTTACTACATATATGCCTGTAAAGCTTTTTTTTAAAATATGAAAAAAATATTGAAAACATCTAACTTATATAATTATTAACTTTTCTTTGTTTTTATCAATATATTATTGATACCTTCACTTGCAAATATAGAGAACGTTTAAATATTGCATAATATCAGCTGGATCCACCGTGTTAGCCCGTACTTCCTTGGTTGAGTTTTATAGACACGCGCGCGACTTATCTCCATTTTCCAGTTCCCCGGAACTTCCTTTTTGCTTCAAAATTTTTCTCTAAATTCTGATTGGAAAAAAAACTGTGCAGTAAAATTTTCTGATAAACATTCATCTCGCAGAGAGTTGGAAAAGAGAAAATCCCAATTTATATGGATCTTCCTTAGAAATTGATTTACTTCCCGATGCTCTCGTTAAAAAAAAAAACCTTTTTGTAATTCATATGTTAATTTTTGAATATGAAGTATAGGAAGATATAAAGAATAGTATTAAATCAATCTCAAAAGGCCATAAAAAGGCATTCAAACAATACAAATGAAGAGCAAACACGGACTCTGAAACATCAGAGTTGGGAGCAGGACAATCGCATCATCTCGGGTCTTTCCGTCAGAGGTCGGAAAAAGAACTTTATTTGGTAATAACCAATATTTGCCCCCCAAATCAAACTTTGATGGAGATATATTTAATTAAGTTCTTAAACAGGGGAGTATATGCTGACTTCAAAGCACTGAATATTTTCATAAGTAATGACGCCATATGTACGTAATGATGTCACAAACATGACGTAAATTTCAGTTTTTTATGAATTTTACAGAAAAATGTACATTTTTCGTCGATATTTTGAGTAAAAGTCACCGAGCGCATGTGTGTTCAGGATCAATATTTTGATATAAAGTGTAGAATGATAGTATCAATGAAATATGTCAATATTGTTCCTGAACAAACTTGCGCTCTATAAATTTTAAAGCTAAAATTGTTGAAATTTTGTCCATTTTGTCCTCTTTCTGATAAAGGATATAAAATCGGACTAGTTTGTGACGTCATAAAAACAAAAATTGTGAAAACACTGCTTTGACACTAAAATATTTTCTGTTAATTTATATTTCTCATACAATTTATTGAATTCAGCGCATTTCAGGAAGTTTTCAAAATTTGACTTTTGTGGGGGCAAATATATGCAATATACCGCATATAGTTCTTTTCCGCTTGTCGAAAAGGTCCGAGAAATTGCAATTTGGGATCAGGTGTCATGGAGGAGTGAGCATAACTTGCCGACCGGCCATACTGTACCCGCTGTGTACTTCTTGTCATGCTCGGGAAATATTACATTACAATAAACATGAAATACATTAGTCAGCATTTAACTTAATATGTTAACGATAAGATTTCTTTTGTTATCCTAATCCTAACCTAGGCAATTATTCCAGGGGAAAATAATACAATAATCTGTAATAAATTTACCCTAGATACTCGCATACTAGTATGCCTACCAATTATTGCATATTTCTATTTAGGAAAAGATAATAGTAACTTTTCTCCTTTTCTCTATAATTCCTGTGAATATTTGATATCTTATTATTGCACCTACACCCCTGTGCAAGGAGTGAATTTCAGTCTGTGTTTGCAAAAAAATATGATTCCTGCTGTTCTTGGAAAAGAAATGAAAACGTTTGTATCATGAGGAATTCAGCTTGAATGAATGCTTAATGCATTTCTTGTCTTTTTACACATTGTGGCATACTTGTAAATTCATGAAGGATCGCACGTTATTGATACTTTTGCAGTCCAATTAATAGGATCCGCGCTGCGAGGAGTGGGGATGTGGTGTACGGTAGCTGCAGGTCTATAGCTCTCTAGTCTGAAAAATGGGATGGATGACCAGATCTGTCACTTTGTTTTTTTTTCGGAGAGCTACAGTTCTGCAGCTATGGTGTAAGGGAACCGACATGGGAAGAGGTTCTCCCTTGTAATTTTGCACCTCCATTAAAGAATACACAGTCATTCATGTACGGTTTTGCGCCCTCTGTAGTATTTTTTGATTTTTTTGTTGTTCGACAAGAAATTTCTGTCAGAGTTTATACCCTAAAACCGAAATTGCTTCCTAGGTGCCCATTTAAAGTCTTGTAGATGTATTATTACACAGCCTATTTGAACTTCCTTTTACAACCTGGTATTGAATCGTTGTAGAACAACGTTCTCGCCTTTTCAATTGAAAGAAATGGAGAAAGCATTCAGAAAAGCGCCCTATCCTGACGTCATGACCCGGGAAGAACTGGCGAGGCGATTGGGTTTGAACGAGTCACGTGTTCAGGTATTATAAACAGATTTCAAATTTCCTTCAAATTAGGGTATAAGACACTAGCCATATAATTTTGTATATAAATTCAGTTATAAATGCTCTTAATGCCAGGATGATTTCATTCAGATTTGGTTTCAAAATAGACGGGCAAAGTGGCGAAAAGGATATTCCCCAAAACTGGACATAAGTTCAAAAAGTGAGTACAATTTTCTTTCTGAAAAGTTACTTTGGCGTTTACTAAATTTGTTTTCATTTTGTCTTAATCTGATTTTTTTTTAAATCTTAGCAAATGAAAACGAACAGAAAGAGGAGCCGAAACCTTCATTACCATTACCACCTCCAACTACAAAAGAGTCTTCAGATCCCAAGACCGTTTCCTGGCAACCATGGCCCGTTCTGACTGATTATTCTCCCTATCCCTCTACTTGGATGGGATTTGCAAGTCATACTCACAATCCCATTTTGTTCAGTCAACAGTCTCTATTTTATCCAAGAGAAGTCAGTAGCACTAGACAATCCGATCTAAACGTGCCATTAAATCTGGTTCAGAGGGAGTATTCTTATGGTGAAAATGTTTTTGATATGTCCAAGTTTTTGCCCAAAGAGAAGGAATGAAATGGAACTCATAAGACAGTGCATAAATTATACATAAACTCTTGAAACAAGTGAATAGGGAATTCTGATTATTTTTCTTTTCATTTTAAACGTTTCTTTTTTTTTCTTAGCATTTTTACAAGGTTTAGTGAAACCTTTTTCACTTTCATCGTTCATCCTACTTACATGTAGTAAGGCACCTGTAGATCTTAGCAAAATACTTTCAAAATATGCCAAGTTTCAGAACACAGACAAGCCAAATATACAAACTGTTATAAATTTATATGTTACCTTGAATGCTATCTATTTAGTGCCTTTCTGTATATAGTTACGTTCTTAAATATTTTTGCTGACAATATTTGGAGCTTATTATACATGTATCTGCCACATATTTGCTGGGCCGTGCAATTGTACAGCAGTGCTAACTTCATATATTATAATAATGTACCTTTTTTTAAAAGAGATATTTTTCAAGCTTTTCAATGTTCTTTTAATGTGATGCATGCCTATTCATAATAAAAACAAGGTAAATTTCAATTTGAAAAAAAAAAAAAAGTGATTTCAAAGATTTCTATTTTCAAACCTTAAATACACAACTTCTTAAAGAAAAATGTATTTTTGATATGGGTATACTGTATTTTGTAAGAAATGTTGAGATATGATAAGCAGAAAATGGTGCCTTTTATGATTAGTCAAGTTGTTCTGTTCACATCTGACTACAGTAAAACTCTGTTATAGCGAAGTCCTTTGGACCTGTGAATTTAATTCGCTATATCCGTAATTCGTTATATCCGTATAACGAATTCATATAACCATTATAGTGAATTCGCAATATGCAAATATTACTACCAAATATGTTAGGGAAGCAAATATTACAAAAACATATCTCCGATAACTAAGGTTTTATTATGAATTGAATTTTATATACAAATGCTAAAAGGAAATAAAGTCAGTTCAATAATCTTTCTAAGTTCGTTATGAAAGATGTAAATTTTATCATATTTAAACTCAACGGGACTCAAAATCAGTTCGCAATATCCATAAATTCGTTATATCAGAGTTCATTATAACCGTAAAATTTTACAAAGATTTGTTAAGAATTTTGCCGGGGACCCAGAAAAACTTCGCTATATCCGTGAATTCGCTTTATCCCTGTTCGCACTAAACGAATTTTACTGTATTCAATTGCTGATAAAGAAAACCCTTTTTAAATAAAACTCTATAATTTATGTAAAAAGAATTATGTTTATTGCATTAATTTTCTTTGAAAAGTTCAGATTTAGATTACAATACATTCAGATACAGATTTTTTAATGAGGGAAATTCAAATGAGGTTTACAGTAGGTGTTTTGTGACATAAATACCGAGTCTCAATACTCCACAGAAAATTAAACCATAAAAATAAAGTCTGACAAAGCTTGGTGGCATGAGAAAATTATGAAATACAACAGATATGTATAAGAAATTCTGACAATTACCAATAGATACCTATTTAAAATCAATTCTTACAAAGATAAAAACAGACAATGAATTAATCTCATTGTAATATCTTCTAAAAGCAGATCTGGTGTAAATGTGATTTACTCCTTATCACAGTCAATAGTGCCATATAATCATTTAATTGGTCTATCTCTGGTTGTTGTGGCAAAAATGAAATTCTGCACTCTAATCAACTCATAAAGAATAATTTATTATTACCATATTTAACAAAAAATTGATATGTGTAAGATATTTATAATCTTCCAAAGTATTTTAATTAATTACTTAAATTACTGGGTTCAATAAAATACTGGGTTAAACCTTTGAATGCCCCCCCCCCCAAAAAAAAGAAAGAAAAACCAATATGATCCAGTACACTGTTTTATGTATTAAAACAGTGTATTTTGTTAAACCTTATATAAAGAACCATCTTTGACATGAGAAAAAAAAGCATATCAACTGACCATCAATTAAACCTTTACAAAACCCACAATGCTTTGTGTTGGCAGGATCAAATACTGCAAGTTTGTATGTCTAAAATATTCATCTAAAACAAGGTGATTTATTAAAGTTTGAGGCAAAAATGTCAATCACAGTCTAAAATGTACAGTAGCTGAACTGTAGGTTAGGTACTCAAATGTACAGTAAATGTTTAAAACAAAAAGGCACAATACTAAATTCAGTAGAACACATTTTACATCCTAAATCAGTATTTCAACTGTACTAAAATGTTTCAACACAGTTATCAATTTTCTGAGATTTGAGGTACTGTATACAGGGTTATTTTAGCCCAATGTTAATTTTTGCTCTTTCACACTTGTAAACAATTTTGCCCCATTTTAATTTTGCCCAGTCACAGTTCTGTTTAAGAACAGTGTTTTTTAAATTTGTCCCATTTTATATACACTCAACTGTCATTTTGGCAAAAAGAATACTTCCCTGCATACAGTAATATGAATATCCATGTAAAAATGTATCTCTAAAAATTATTTTACCTGAATATGTAAAGCATCACATACATGTACTACATGTAACAAAGTCTAAAATCCCCCCCCCCCTCCCCTCACAAAGAACACAAAATGTTTAATTATTTAATGCCTCCTCTATACATGCTATTAAAGACAGTGAATATCCGAATAAATACCACATAAAAATTTAAGTTACATACATAATATTTTAAACCCACCTAACAAAACATTCATGCACATGTACATACATGTATATAATAAGACATTTACATTCAACAGAATAACTATATCATTATATTACCATACCTATTCATCATAATACAGAACTGTTTAAATGACAACCATAGATTTTCACAAGCAGCTTTAAATGTACAGTACAAGAGAGATTCAAAGACAGAAAATCTTTGAGCAACAGTATATAGTATCACTGGAAACACACATCATACAGTATAAAATTAATTCAGTTACATGTACAATGTACAATTCCTACCTCAGACTACCTATAGCTACAGTGACTCCTCACAATTCAGTGTAAGGACAATGAAAGACTAGTGGTTAGGTGAAATCAGAAGGGTCTGTAGGTCTTGGGGTACCTGAAGTGGAGCCAGTTCTCCTGGTGTATCACACAGTGGTCCCAGCCCAGCTCCTTAAACATCTGAGGGAATACAATTACAATGTTCAAGCAGGTGACAGATAAATGAAGCAACTAGCAAATAAATTTATCATTCTGATTTTAATATTAATTTAATAGTTACATCTAAATTATATGAGTCTGATGAATTTTAAATTTGTTGCTATACTAAGGAAGTTTTACAGATACATGTATTTTAATTCATGTTTATACATCACAGGTAAATATAAGTATCTTGAACATGGGATATCTTGAATACCCCGCTTAAGTTATATGTCGAAGTCCATCGCTGGTCCCGGCCATATTCTCTATATAAATGATTTAAAAACACCTGATATCTTGAACACGGTAATCTCAAATACCCCGCTTATGTCAAAGTAAATTCAAAGTCCCAAGTCTTAATTTTACCTGGCTTATCTCGAAGTGCAGTGAATTTTCCTGTCTATTACACCCACCTGGTGTCATTGGCTATTAATTAACACCTTCTAAACCTAGAGAATCTTAATTAATCCCAAGCTCATGTTAGGAATCTGTGACAATTCAATTCAATGTGAAATGCATGAAAAGATAGCATACTCGGGAAGTTATTGATTCAACATTGATGACAACTTCGGATATCTCGAACCCCCGGATATCTAGAAGTTTTACCCAAGTCCCCTCAAATTCGTGATTCTGATATTTCACTGTATCTGTAATGCTATGGAGGGAAGGAACATATTCAAGAATTATTTTCTCTTAACATATTAATTGCATATCTATATGTGTCTTCAAATATTGTATTTATACAGGTAAAGATAGTACTTATTTTGTTAAGTACACATAGCTTATAAATATGATTTGTATCTTTAGGAAATGATTTATTTCTTACTTTGACCACTGTGACTTCAATTTCCTGAGTTGGTTTCTCCTCGTAGCTCTTCTGCAGAATTTTCATAGCCCTGCCATAATGCTTCATGTGTTGAGCATATACCATTGTAAAATAAGACACCTAAAACCAAGATTTAAAATTTTTTTTTACAAATTTTCAAATATTAGACTAAAATTACATTTAAATACACACATTAAGATGCTATTAGAAATTAATAACACTTTCATTCATAAAAAAAACATTTTTATCCCTACAAGTGATTTTTAAATATAAAAATTTTATTCTAAAACAATTTACATGTATAGGTATGAAAATTATATTCAGTATAATGAAACAGATAAAATTTGTGATTCTTAAGCACCAATATCTCAAACAACATGAGTATGTCAAAATAATCTTGAAATCTCAACCCTTATCCTTTAAGTATTTTATTCTAGATATCTAAAATCCTCAGATATCTCTTTTTCTTGGTCCAACTGAGTTGGAGAAAATAAGGTTTGACTGTATATAATATAGCCAGTATATACCTTGGAATCGTTGACATCTATCCACTGCTGTAAGTTCTGATAGGTCTCCTTCATGTCCTCTGAGGTCACGCTGGGCAGTCCCTCCACTGTGTCCTCCTTAGCCTTCTCCTCCAGAACACTGGCCTGTGCTTTACCTAACCTAAAGTAGCTGTCAATCAGCATCTCTTTCTCCTTGTCTTTCTCTCTGGAAGGGAAGTACATTTACCTTTTATTCATGTACATATTACATGCATGTGTAGTCTGGTATAATATAAAAGTCAAACTTCCATTCAAAGATTATATATTTTAGAATTTCTACAAAGAAATATGTTTACTACAAAAATATATATATTTTTTTTTTACTAAGACAAATTGAGAAAAAAAAAAAGAAAACAATATTTGATAAACTCTTGCAAGACAATCAATCTATATATGTACCATGAATATAATCCAAGTATGGTACAAGTTAGGTACATACCCTTTGATTGTAGCTGCCTCTGGCCTTGGGTCTGTTTTCATTCCATAATAACTTAGCAGTTCCTTTTGATCAATTTTGGAGATGATGAATTTGCTCAGGTCAATAATTTCACCCAGATAATTTTTCCTATCCTGAAATGCAATTTACTGTACATGTAAGCATAACTCAATTAACAATGAAGAATTTGAATTGACCTGTCATAGCTAGGTTAAATTATTCTAGGAGAAGATTAAATTAGGCAGTACCTTGTGGTTGTCTAGACTCTGAAGTCTAGCTGTAAACACTGGTAAGTGACCTGAATGTTGACTCCTCAACTCGTCAAACAAGGAATGATCTGGTTCTAATCTACAAGCAAATAAATTTCAATAAAAAAATTACTATCCTGCATCAGATGCACTATGATAAAAAAAAAATCTGCCCTAATAAAAACAGAATATTTCCACCCTTTAAATATCACTAAAATCAATTTAAACTTTCAAGGATAAAACAATTCTCTTAATAATTTTAATAACTGAATTCATATTTCCTAGGCTATCAAAACAAATATCAAAAATTGCCTATAGACATGATAGAATTACTTTGAGATCCATGAGATTTGTAGGTCCCTGAGTGACTCTTTGTACTCTTCTTCCTTTGTTTTCTCCTTCTTTTCACTTTCTTTCTCGCCTTTGTCTTTGCCTGCCTTCTTCTCTTTCTTAGGGTTATCCTTCTTGGCTATTTCAGTTATCACATATTTAAAAGGTACAGTACTCTGTAAAAATAAAAAAAAAAAAACAAGTCAAATATTAAAGACCACAAGTTGCTTTTCCCGTGTTCATTCTTGTAAATTTTCACTTTAAAATTTTTATTTCTTTTTTTTTTTTATTTGGGGAGGGGGTGTAGATAATGGGTTTCACAAAGCAACAGACATATTTATCCAACAGAATAGATAATCAGTTTTACAAAGCAACACCAACAAGTCGAGAACAGTGATCTGCTAACTGACCTACATGTTTATTTATCTGGCCACTGAGAAAATTTCTTAAAGCTGTATCAGGAGACTCAATAATTTACTAATGAGATGACATAAAATTAACATACTGATTCAGTAAGAGGTTCATTCTTCAACAGAGTCAGTGTCCCAAGTAACATCTGTCCTGGTTTGGCATTTTTAGGAATTCTGAAAATGAAACATATTTAAAAAAATCATATCGGGCATTAATAAAACTGCCAAAATACTAGGGATGTCAAAATATTAATTTTCCTTAGTCGAACTTTCGACTGCATTATTCGAACGATAGTCGACTATTCGGAGCATTTATATTTTTTTTATATACCACAGTGTTTTTAAAAGCTTATTAATTAAAATAAATTGAAAAAATGAAATAAATTGGAAATGGGGAATTGTAAACACACACTATCCACACCTCTGATGAAAATGTTTTAAAAATACTGTTTTTCAATTAATGATTGCCCAAGCTATATATCAAAATGTCTTTTATGTAAGATTATTTTTTAATAATTATCGAACTTTAAAACTTCACAGCTATGCAAATATTGTGTTTTCCTAAGTATCTGAAATTCCTAGAGTTCATAAATATAATTGGTACAAGTCAATTAAATAATTTTCATAGTCCAGTATGGCGTTGCATAATTTACCGGGTAATACCGGTACGTACAATAACAAAAAAAGTCAGTGATTGAGAAATAATAATCGCGGTGTGTAATTACTGTATTTTCCATATGTACAATGTGGAAAATTATTTATATACTGTGACCTCTTATTCGTCTGAAAACGTACACTATTCAGCTGTATAGTTTGAGGAAGGACCCTTTTTCAATTTTGAGATGAAATTTCATTATTGTCCCCTTTTCTTGCATTTATTCAATATTCGAATGTTGTTTCATTATTCGATCGTCGGTCCATTCGACTGACGGTCGAATAGTCGACTATTCGTTGATATCCCTACAAAATACCAATGACCTAAAGTACATGAGGTTAAAATATATGCAAGCAAAACCAATATTTAACAATTTAGTATTTTTACGCAACAAATATCTCAAAACATATTGTTGAAGCAACGTCCTTACTTGTCTGAGCTAAGTGGTGCAACAAAAATTGGCTGCAGAGCACCTTTCCCTAATATCAAACTGTTACACTTCTTTCCATCAAAGACCTTTTGCCAGCTGCTGTACACGTTCAGAGCGATGGAAGATGCCAGTTTGTACTTGATCTGAACCACCAGGTCCTTCAGTTGTTCAAGTTTATCCTTCTTCTCATGGCGAACTTGAAGCAACAAAGTGTAGTCTCCTTTCTCCAACTTCTGGGTGTACTGCAATTTATAAGATTACAAACAATATATCAATTGTTCTTCATTTTAAATTTTTGTGTATATTAAATGGTCATTATACTTTTCAATGTATTTCTTTGTCTGGAAGAAACACAAGCCTTAAATCCCATGCAGAGAATTATAACTTGAGATAATCTGGAATAATCTCATTTGAATTTATTTGAAACATTAGTCTGAACATTATTTTTTTTAAACATTTTAAAAGCAATGTATTTTTTCTGGTTATTTATCAGGTTATCAAGCAAACCTGTATAACTTCATATGCCTTGTAAATTAATGTACAAATTATCTTTGACATGATATTTTCAGCTTATACTCACTCTGTTGTGGAAGGCATCTCCACATCCTATATACTGTTTGTTGGAATCAAACAACATCCAAAGCTGGCTCTCATACTCAGACTCATACAGCAGTGGACTCAGGAATGAGCAGTTAGGAGTTACGTCTCCTCCCTTATCCTACAGGGAAAAGAACAGAATTTGTTACAACTTATTCCAAGAAGTTAAAAATAAACTCTGATTTACATGCAAGTTTAGCACAATTAAGTCTTACTAAGTGGAAGTTGTAGGTGAGTTCTAATGCAAATATATGTCTCTCCTCTGGCAGGGTGTCTCTAGATCCGGGTAGAACCCTTATCTTGTATTCCGTTGGCCTAATATAAGAACATAAAAGAGTAAAATATGAAAGCAATAATAAATTTTAATTTTGTTATTTTTGACATCCTCCTTCACACACTTTAACCTACTCAATTTGCATTGCACATGAAATGTACATTTATAAAAAAATTTGCATCAGGAAAAATATATTTTTTTTAAAAATCTTATTTCAGTAATTTTTTTTTAATTAAGTGTTCATTCATTCAAGGAATATTGCATTTCAAATCTTTTCTGGTTTAAAATTTTTGTTTTAATGAAATTTCATGATGCAGACCCCACATTTATTTTAAATGTCAGCTTACCTGAGAGGCTGTACCAGTGTCTTCAGTGATATGGTAGGGCTGAGTTCCTCTCTCCTTAAGTTGGCCCTGATGTTGTACCTGGCCACCCCATCTGAAGCATGCTGTTAGAACAACAAGGGAATCAATGATTTTAATACAGGTATCTCCTCTAATCAAACTGATTTTTTTGTTTCAAAAAATGTGATTTTCTCCTCTCCAAATAAAGAAAATTTTAGAGATCTAAAGTTACTTTATAAATTGCATCAGATTTCTGATTCACAAAACAATTTCAATTTATGCTTCTCCTACAAAAGAATAAATTGTGAATTATTTTAATTAATTGCCATTGTCAACTGGTTTCTTTAACATGACCAATGTGTGACGACTCCGCGGTGGAATGTGATACTGTTAGTTAAAATTGGATTGTAAATATTAAGAAATTCAATCTTTATAGTCTTGTTGTATTCATGTTTATTTTGTAATTATTTTACCTTATTTAAGATTGGTATTACACCAAAATGTTGGCTATACACAACAACCATAACGTTTTTCTTGCGTAAAAATTAAACATAATATAGTTCCATTTTCCTATATATTAAAAAAAAATCAATTCATTTCACAAACATGGTTTAAAATATTGCTTTTTAAAAAAGTGTGCTTTTACAGTTGTATCTCAAAAATTCCCTGTTGTGACTTCTCAAAACAAATAATAATACATGTAATTATTTAAAATTTAAAATTTTTAAACTCTATATATCTCCTTTGAAGGATTTTTCAGAATAAACTATAATTTGCAAGAAGACGTGAGGTTTTAATTATATGTACCTCCACTCTAAATGCATGTTTGGACTCTGCACTATCTGACAGTGTGATGAACTTTTCAAATTCCAGTTTGGTGTACTGATGCTGTGGCAGATTTTGTATAGCATGAAGTAGCATTCTGCAGCTCTTCTCTTTATCAATTGACTCTACATTCAATACTGAAAACAAAATTATACCAAATAAATATTCAATCAATCAATGCCTTTTATTTTCTCTCTTTATCAACGTCACCGAAAATGCCACAAGATCAATTATCGTTTTCAAATTCATCAAACTTGTCTAGAACCTTAAAGAAACATCACTAGGTAAAACCATAAATTTTTACATGCATGTACACGAGTGTAATTGCAGTAAAACAATAGAGTAATTACCTACCTGCAATATTAGCACCCGTAGGAACTTTGATGAAATGACGATGAATTTGTCCTGGTTTGAAGAGCATGTTCGAGAAAGATTTCTCCCACTTAATCTCATCATCAATTCTTAAAAAGGGAAAAATATTTTTGTTTGAAACATGCATTAAAATCTTCATACAAAGAAAAATTCTTATATAGCAGTGTGCCAACTCGGCTAGCTATAGGGCTCAGTACAATACCTTTTCTGGTGGTGTCTGTATACTTCCTACTTTTTTGCATATTAATAAATACCTTTTTCCACCTCATATAGCATGAAACATGTATGAACTCTTTATCTCAAGCAGGCATACACTTGTGAATAATACAAAGATGCAGTTGTACATGTATAGGGTTAAAGATGAAAACATGCAAAAAAAAATTTTTTTTTAAATTCGTGTTACATCACTGTCGCTAATGATTTTATCCATTTACCAATTTTCAGACATTTTTAAAAGAAACTACTAGTAGGATGACAAAGTGTTCTTCAAGAACAATCTATTTAAAACTTCACTTACTTGCTTGGTACTACCACTGTTATTGGAAATCTGAATACAGGGCCTTTTTCAAGACACTTCACATCAAAACCTTTCACCTTTAAATAAATTATTCCATAATTTTAAAATGAACACTTGAATTCCTGAAAAGGGAATTGTTTTCAGAGGATACATAATACATGTAAAAGCAGAGAAGTTGGACATTTTTATATGTACACCAATTTATACAACATGTACTTAGAATTTTAATTACCTCGGTGTAATAAACCCCTTCACTGAGTCCCTTGTGGTCCACCTTTACACTGAACAACCTCTCAACATTCATCAGTTCTAAGTGGGAGGGGCACTGCACCCAGGGGGCATCACAGGTCAAATTAAACTGCATACAGAAGTTTATTTTCTCCTCCTGTTCTACGTGGTCCTCAAAGAAACTCGGTGAAATTGACACCTTCGTTTCGTAAGGTTTACGGAAGTGATGGGGTTCCCTCAGATAAATTCCTCTCTTTCCGTCAGAACTTGAGAGTTTGAATTCTACCTTAACCTCTGGTTCTTTGGCGAAATTGGTAAGAAAATCATAGGTCTTCTCCACCTGTAATTAAATATACACATATGAAAATCTTATTGTTAGATGATAAACTTAGTTTATGTAAAAGCATTCAAATCCATATTGAAGAAGATGTACTCTGTACATGAAACTGAACTGATACATGTATGAAAGTTGTCTAATTCACGCGTTGTGTATTCCAAAACTTGTCTAACACATTGTAAACTTCAAATCCCTTTCAGTTCAAATTAATTGTTAAAAATGTTTTGTTTTTTTTTTTTTTATATCCGAAATGATGTCAAATCAGTCATATTCTTTGGAATAAGTGGTGGCAGGATTATAGACAAATGAATTAAGTTTAAACTAATTCAACTGTATATGACTCTCTCAAAAATACGTAAATACATGCATAAGCAATCTTCAATTTGCATGCCTATGAGATATTAAGCACAATGATTCCAATGCAGAATATGAGCAAATATTTATATGCAATGGAAAAATATAAGTAATAAGATATTTTAAATTCATTCCATATTGGACAATTAGGACTGACAACATTTGCAGCTAAAATATGGAAAGGTATCAGACCACAACCAAGAAGGTCAGGTTGAAAATCAATTACAATTTACCTGTATAAGACCGTGCCCCAGTGCCTGGACCTCAATGTTTGGCACAGCAGTGGCTGTATTTATCAAAGCCCTCTTCACACTAAAAGGTGAGTATTCTATGCCATTGGCTTTCAATCCAGAAAGTACAAGTCCTGAAAGGAAATAAAGCTTTAAAAACAAGAGGCCCATGGGCCACATCGCTCATCTGAGCACTAAGGGTAGGAAAAAGTAGAAAATGGCTTTTTATTGTAAAGTTTAAATCCAAAAGCAAGTCCAATGACCAATCATGGATTTGCTATTTTTTATAAAATGATTTTTAAAGAATTTTCCTATATATATCTTTAAAAACTTTGGTCGGCCATTTTTGACCCACCCTACCCCTAGGGGTCATGATTTGAACAAATTTGAATCTACACTACTTGAGCATGCTTCCATATAAATATGATGAATAATGGCTTTGTCATTCTTGAGAAGAAGATTTTTAAAGAATTTTCCTAAATATTTCTATGTAAAACTTTGAACTGATACATTTTGGCCCCACCCTACCCCCGGGTTGTGTATTCCAAAACTTGAATCTACACATACCTTCAACATGCTTTCATATAAATATTGTTAAAAATTTTGGCTTTGTCATTCTTGAGAAGAAGATTTTTTGGAAAGAATTTCCCAATATATTTCTATTTAAAACTTTTCAACTGTATATGACTCTCTCTAAAATATGTAAATACATGCATAACAAACTTCAATTTGCACTACCTAGAGATATTAAGCACAAGTTTCATCTTTCCTGGCACTGTGGTTCTTGAGAAGAAGATTTTTAAAATATGCCACCAATTTTTCATTAATTCCCAATTATCCCCCCTTGAATGATGGCGTGGCCCTTCATTTGAACAAAGTTGAATCCCCTTCACCCAAGGATACTTTGTGGCAAGTTTGGTTGAAATTGGCCCAGCGGTTCGACCTGTATAAGACTTGACCTCAATGTTTGGCAAATGTGAAAAGTTTACACACAGACAGACAGACAGAGGGACAGCTATTGGCTGTGATTCAAAAAGCTCACTTGAGCTTTCAGCTCAGGTGAGCTAAAAAAAATGTTTTTTTCTCTCACAAACCAAACTATAATAGAAATACTAAGTACTTCGTTAAAATAAACAAAAAAAGTTATATGATAAAAAACATAGAGTTTACATTCACCTTCTTTGAAGCATGTTCAGCTGGTGAGATGTCTACACACTTGTTAAATTTACCTTAATGATATCTGTGAGCACTTATAGTGCATTGCATCTAACTTATTTACATAAAAAATGAAGGTAAAAGAATGATACTAAATAAAGTAAAACCAGAGATTGTACATGTACATGTAGAAAAGATACCAACCTATACAGCCACAAGCATTTGGAGAACTCATGCTAGTTCCATTCATCAGCTGATTGCCCCTCAGAGTCCAGTTTGGGACACAGGCAATGGCACCCCCTGGGGCACTGATTGTCACTCCAAGATCTCCATCATGTCTGGTAAATAAAGATCATTACTTTTTAAAGATAAAGTGAGAGAATTGATAGAATGAGGTTAACTTTAAATAGTCTATTTTATACAGTGTGAACAAGTGACAGAATTGATTAATTGAAGTTTTTTTTTTAAACTTTGAAAAGTGTACTTTATACAGTATGAACTAGTCTACTTTGTGAACTTACGTTGGTCCTCTAGATGACCATGTGTACTGGTTACATGGCAGTTTCTCCATGAGGGAGTACTGAGCTGCCATCATTGCTGGGGACACCATGGCCCCTACCCCTACAAAAGACAAACCAAAAATGATTTATTTCATGTAAAATAAGTTACAGAGAGATTTAAACACAAGCTGTCAGTAATACATGTATATCATTACAATGTCCAGACTAGTAAAGAAAACAATAATTATTGAGAATAGGAAAGTAACACGTTCAAATATCAAGATCTGTTATGTTTTCGTCATATTGCAAATCAATTAATCTTATTCTGCATTTATTTCATACTTCATAAAAAATAAGTATTTCACATATCTTTATAAAAATGAAATTTTCAGGCAACAATTGAAATATGTATAAATCTAAAATACAGGTTGTATATAAAATATGGAATTTTGTTTAATATAAATGACTTTCCATTATTAAAAATTTTATCACTTTTGGATTATAATGGATTCCCTTTTATTGAACGTACATATTACATGAAAACAAACTTAATACATCTAAATATATACCTATCATTGCACTAGTAGTGCCTCCAGGGCACCCAACAGTAGAGAGAGCGGGACCATTGTTCCCAGCACTGCTGACAAAAATCACCCCATGTTTATTTACAGCCTCAGACAGTATATCTACCACACGCCTAAAACAATAGAGAAATGACTGATAAACGATTTGTCAAAATATCTGAAATTATTTGTAATATGGTGCTATACTTCATGCCTAAATTTTGAATTAATACCCCAATATTCCATGAACTACCAAAAGATATGACATTTCAATAAGCCATACTGTATAAAAGTAGGACTATAAAAGATATTCTTATTTCTTAAACCACTAATTTTTTTAAAAATACATATACATGTACATGCACATGTAAATGATACATACCCTGAATCTGGCCAGCTAGCTGCCTCTCCATAACTATAGTTGACTAGATCACACTTATACTCTATCACTTTGATCATCTAAAAATACAGAATATCATTTTATTACAATGTACAGCTTTAAAGATTTGTCCTTCAGAAATAGATATTTTACCTTTCAAGTCAAATACTATGATATCATTAATTTTCAGGGGGGGGGGGGGGGGGTTAGTCTTTGTTGCTCTCAATGTATGAAGACCACAAATTAATGTATACCATGAAATGTCATACACTTTACTACTTAACAATTTTTCATCCACAAAATGTAATCCCTACAAATCCAAGACTTGCCTCAAACCATGAAAAATTTACCCCATGAATGATTTTACAGCAGGGGTTTATTTTATAAATGCCTATACTTACAGCCCTGACTAGTGAGGTGCCTGTCTCCATAGATCCCAGCCTTGTGTCCCCTATCTTAATGGATATAATCTGTGCCCCCGGGGCCACTCCATTTCTCTCTGGTTGGTCAGGAAAATATCCAGCAGTGATCCCTGCCACATGGGAAGCATGGGCCCCTAAAAAAATCACCGAAAAAGGTACATAAAAAAAATGCACTTTGGTCGTCCATTGCAATTTTTCTTTCAGATGAGCTACAGATTTGCAGCTGCTGAGATTCAAATGGTGGTAAATCCCTATATCTAATACCTCTTGATAAAACCTGAGAAGTATACTTTGCTAGTATACTTTTTATAGACCCGAATCTAAATATACAATACAAAGACCAGTTACCTGCATTTGTGACAATTTCCAGGGTGTTCCCATCATTATAAATATTGACAGTGTAGTTCATCATGTCTAAGCGGCTGAAGGTGCCAAACTCTTGTTCTTCATGGTAGCTGGCCAGCAGTTTACATTCACATAAAGCTCCTCTTTCTGTTGTGTCCACACAAGCCCTGCATATAATCATTAAACTTTCAAATTTTGTTAGGTGTTAACTGTAATCAACTGTATGTATAAATTTGCTATGGGGGCAAATTATATATGTTTACACTTATTGAATAATCAAGTGCACATTTTGGGAACCAAATCATGAAGGTGTCAGTTTTAAACTGATAATCAGATTATAGAATACAAATACAATGTACTTTGCCAAATGGGACAAAAATGTCTTAAAATATTTCATACATTTATGTTGAACCTCTATATTTAGCAGTCTACTGATAAAATAAGCTCCAATTTTGTTGATTTTATTCCAATCTATCAGGGATTGACATTAACGGTTGTCCGATTGCCCGTGACAAGTAAATTCTCAGTTCGGGCAAGTGAAACTGTCAATGTACTTGTCCGATGGGGCAAGTGGATATTTCTGATAGAAACATTTTTTTTAATCTCACATAAGTTTATAAACAACACAATAAATCAAACACTTGATTTCCGCCAAAAACGGGACGTTGTTGCATTTAATCCCTCGGTAGCGTTTCTGGATCTTACCTTTATTCAAAATCGGGTTCGTTATTCTGTTTTTTTTCGTAGTTTAAAAACATACGATTATCTGTCTGACAACTTACATTACAGTCTTATTATGAAAATAGAGATTACAGAACTTTCTCTACCCAATTAAGGAATTATATGAAGAACACCAATTATTCACGGTGCACAATGTATCTTCCTTCTGGCTTCACCTCAATTTTTTAGAGGAAAAATTAGAATTTCAAACAAAAATCGTAAGAAAATAATATTCCTGCATACTCTGTGTGTTTTCAGGATAGTTACATGTAAATGACAGGAAAGTGTTTTATATACATGTACATTTACAAACGTAGCATCACCATCATATCAACATTTTTTTCTGACAGTTAACTTCAAAACAGCATTAACAGAGATTAATGTGTCAACTTTTATATTTACAACAAATTAAGGTACAATAACTGTTTTTTTTTCTTAAAAATTTTGGGCAACCAAATTTTGCATTCGGACAAGTCAAAATTGTAGTTCACTTGCCCGAAGGACAAGTGGAAATAAAAGTTAATGTCTACCCCTGTCTATATCTCAGTTAAAAAAAAAATAATTCATCTTCCTGTGTAGATGTATCAGGCAGTTTTTCATGCTTCAAAATGAAGACATTGAACTTTGCTCTGGAGAACTGTAGACCTACCTCCAAGTTGATCCATCGTGGAAGACAACACAGTCATAAATAGGTCCACAGTCACTGTACTTCTTCTCCAAATTGTTCAGGATGTCAACACAACTTTGGAGATTTTCTTTTTCCAGCTTATCATCCTGAATAAAATTTATCAATTATCAACGACTCAAAGGAAATAAAACCCCTGGAACCTTATTCACAAAGTACATGTGGACCTACGATTTGCATTTCTAACGTGTCCTAAATGCAAATTCTATAGGATATTTATTGTAAGTTTTCTGATTTTATGCTAAAGCCCAAAGTCAAAAATTTAAGGAACTGTAGAATGCAAAACATGGACCTAAGAGAAGGAGACACAAATGAGAAAAACAAGTTAATATGAAGTTATCTAATAAAGTTTATATGTATCTGAACTTAGAGGAGTAAAGCTGGTCCCGACCCATATTTATTTTATCAATATTAAAATTTTTGTTTCTAAAGCTTTAATTGTCTTGATGAAATCTAAATGTAATATGTTTTTGTAGTGTCCATAAACTTATTACAAGAATTTCCATACTTGGATTCTGTTCAAATTGAAAGTACCAAGTTAAAATAAACAATGTTCAAGATGCATTTGTACTGAGTAGTCATCTAGAATCATTTTCACTTCATAAATTTTACTCCCACTTGAAAGTTACATATATATCTACATTCCCTTTTCATGACACAGGTTTTACTTGCTAGCATGTTTTGTTAAATGTACAGTGAATTTGACAGACAGTGTAATATAATTATAACCTAGATTTGGACCAATGATGCTCACTAAGAATTATTAAGTCACTGACCTGGTTAGAACTGGACGCCTCGTACTGCTCTAGCTTCCTTGTGGCCTCAGCTATAGCCTCTCTATGGGCGGGGTCCCAGTTCTTCTCCTTCCTTTCTTTATTCAGCCTATCCTGGAGCTTCTTTGGAAACAGATCATAGGCAGGCTTAACTCCTACATGGTACAAGCCAGAGGGATTTGTCCAAGTGTCTGGAATCTGTGTTGATTTATTCAAAAGAAAAGTGTAAATATGATTTAAGAGAACTTATTTCCTTATATCTGAGATGGTATTTTGATACATGTACAATTAAAAAATTAATCAGTGGAACAAGCTGTGGTTACACCACTAATAATTCTTCATGTATTTGTTTGCCATTGAATTCTATCTATTTTCATACCTTAAGTTTACGACCAGTAACACCCGTAATTTCTCCATCTTTAACCTCTTCAATTTTAGAAGTGTCAACATCCCCTGATCCTGTTGTGTCAATTAAGTCAACAATTTTGGGGCTTCCATCTGGTGTTGTCTTAAAATTAATAAAAGGTGCATTATTTTTTTTCTCATATACTCACTGTCATAAATTCAAAATGTTTTTAAAATTAAATCTAATGGTATTTTTAAATTAAAGAAAAAAGGAAGTGCCCTTGACCTGCCTCCACGGCTTCCAAAATCTATAAGTAAACTTTAACCCATGCAGCTATAAAAATTATGATTGTATATATATCTGGATGGCAGACAAAATATTTGGTGAAGAAAGATTTGATAAAAATCTAATTTCTCCTGCAATGATTTTTCAAGTTCAGAATATTGAGTATTGTACATTCCTTGATATTTATAATACAAATTTGAACATGTTGAAGGCATTGTCTCATATGATTGTTTGCTTTAAAGGGATTCAGTCAATTAATTCTATACAAATTCGGTTATTCCACACTTATCCTCAGTATCTTACTTAAGAGACTTATGAGTCTAGAGGGACAATAAGCTTTTTTAAAGATTGCATAAGATTATACTGAGACTAATTTTCAAGAATATACAGATTATAAAAATGTTCTTCCTCTTGTATTGGAAGTGAAATCAACGACATATTATGTTAAAATTAAAAGGATACACCTACTAAGCATCCTATTCAAAACGTATTTTGCGTAAAAATAAAAACAAACTACGTTTCCTTGACTACAACACAATATTCAATAACACTTGCCTCTTCTGTGTTACCTGCTTACTATTAATCTCAGCGAGATGTCGTAGGGACTGAAATATTTGGTACGACATCTCGCTGAGATTAGCTTACTATCAGCTATGAATGTGATGAATTTGACAAGAGATAAAAAGAATCAATGAAGAAATCGAGTTATTAAAAACAAAAAAAATCTACATTTGATTGAAAGACAGGCATCATTCATAAGACAAAGTTATATAGGCTTACAGGCTACACATAAAATTATGCAAGTCATTGTCCAGCAACTTACACCCATTCAAAAATTTTATAAAACGTTTCATTGAGGGGATACCTGTAATCCAGGTGCTCCTGGATCTACACCTGTGTCTAAAATAGCTATAAGAACACCTCTTCCGTCATAGTTTGGGTATTTTGAAAGAAATGAATAGGCACCAGTCTCTTTTTTAGGTAACAAGCCTTCCAAAGGAAAATCTTCAGCGACCTCGGACGCCATTCTCGCAGACGAATTCCCCTAGTCCCTAAAGCGTTTAAAACCTACGTGGACAAAGATGTATTTTGAAGACGTTGATTTTAAGAAAAAATATAAACACAAAAACCAAAACAGTGGCTTTTAAATCTCCGAATGATAAAGAGGATATACATTGTATATGACTCAATATTTTTTTTTTATAAAGAAAATATATCATACACAATTATCATATATCTATTCAAATCTTTAGTTCCCATTTTATCATAATCTTAACTCAATTTTCTAAACTTATAACTTTGTAGAATTTAGACACAATATTGAAACCCAGGTTGATTAAATAATATCTTGAATCAAATAATACTGTCTGATAATATTAAATACATTCATAGACTGGAGTTAATGTATGGATGAAATAGTGTAAATGTTATGTCAAATAATATTATAAATGCATATATACAATTTAAATTACATAGTTCTATTTACTAGAGAGTCAAGAATAGGGGCTTGTCTTCCGGATTGTTAAATGTAAACTAAAGCAGATTAAGAAAATATCTATATTAAATGCACTCTTAAAATTGCTTTAATAAAGATTCTGACACGATCAGGTAAGAAAATTCATGTTAAAAAAACACACCTATATATACATAAACATAATGTTTATGTATATACATGTAGGTGTTGTACTATTTTTTAAACAGCATGATTTTTCTTACCTGATCGTGTCAGAATCTTTATTAAATCAATAATGTAAATATTTTTTTTTAATTTATTTTACATTTAACAATCCGGAAGACGAGCCCTATGGAGTCAAGTGCATGGTGTTTTGGTTTCACAGTTTCATGAGCTCCAACAGCGGAATATTACTTTAAGTTTGCATTCGGTCATGTTCACGTAACTGTCGTTTCATAAGTATTTAAAATGATTAGAGAAAATAATTCCACAGTTTGCATATATAATATTTAATGTAATGGCTTAAATTCTTCATCTATATACATGTAGGCAATAATATTTCAAACAAAATTGTTGTTAAAAATCTTGTTTTAAAAGACCTCTGTATTTTTTTCTTTAAAGAGGTCTTAATTTTCACGTGACTCAACCTCCTTATCCTATCTACAGCTGCCCACATAAAAACTGGATTTCAAGAAACAAAAATGAAAATATCCGATTTTGTGAAAATATGAGCCAAATGCAAAAGTGGTTCACTGAGTCAAATTATTTAAAAGAAAAAAAAACCCAATAAAATGAACATGATGAAAACGTTCCAAATTAATATGAAAAAAGTCAAAATAGTCAACCAAAAAATCGATTTTGATAAATGAAATGCAAACTCAAATGAAATGTCATCCACATTATTTATAATGCTAAGAATTCATGGAATGTAGATTTAATAAGACCAACCAGTACATGCCACTGATTTCAAGCTGCAAGTACTCTAGTTTATCGAACTCGTAGAATTTTAAAAGTATATTCATAATCTTTTGTTATTGTGCATCATAATATTCAGAGGTTATATATACAGTGTGTAATATTATACCTATATACAAAGTATCGCATGAAACAGATCAAGACTTAGCGTAAGATTATCTTTCTTTCGAAGAAAGTGAAACGAAAGCTGAATAAAGAACTATATGCGGTATATTGCATATGTTTGCCCCCACAAAAGTCAAATTTTGAAAACTTCCTGAAATGTGCTGAATTCAATAAATTGTACGAGAAATATAAGTTAACAGAAAATATTATAGTTCCAGAGCAGTGTATTCACAATTTCTGTTTTTATGACGTCACAAACTAGTCCGATTTTATATCCTTTTTCAGAAAGAGGACAAAATGGACAAAATTTCAACAATTTAAGCTTTAGAATTTATAGAGCGCATGTGTGTTCAGGAACAATATTGACATATTTCATTGATATTATCATTCTACACATTATATCAAAATACTAATCCTGAACACACATGCGCTCGGTGACTTTTATTTAAAATATCGACGAAATATGTACATTTTTCTGCAAAATTCATAAAAAACTGAAATTTACGTCATATTTGTGACGTCATTACGTACATATGACGTCATTACTTATGAAATTATTCAGTGCTTTGAAGTCAGCATATACTCCCCTGTTTAAGGACTTAATTAAATATTACTCCATCAAAGTTTGATTTTGGGGGGCAAATGTTGGTTAATACCGCATATAGTTCTTTAAATCTTTTGAATATTTCCTGAAAGTTAGATTCATGGAGTGTGCCGCAGTATGATCCTGGAGACTCATGGATTGAATTACTGGCTGATACTGAACAATAAATTAAATGGTTTAGATCTTCTGTAAATATTGAACAATAATTAATCATTTTGTTCTGTTTATTCATTGCACTGATATCTATATTGAAAATCGAATTTTTCTAGTCTTCTGATCCACAACGACGTGATAATTTATTCAGTTGAAAAAGGAATTGCTATGTATCATAAACCTCTGCACAAAATTTAACAATGCATTGGAATGCAACATTTGACGGCTTGAAAATGCAGAGTAACAAAAGCTACTATTCTGACAAAAATATTAATACTTAAAATATTGCAGAAATTCCATGCATGAAAATCGAACATGCTTATTCAATTTTTTTTTTTCCAGAAAGAGAAATCTTTAAACCAATCGGTATGCTTGGGTTTGAATTTTTAAAATTAAATGGAAATTTTTTGTGTAAATGTATAGTATACTATAAACAGACCCCTTTTTCCAGCGACCAGCATTACCAATATCTTAAAGAGGCTTTGTTTGTTAACTTGCATTGCCAAACTTTGTAAAAGACTAGAAGAATCGTTAAACCTTTTCTCATATTTTGATTATTTGTATAAAAAAAAATAAATGAATTGATGATTTATGTGAATGTCAGTAGGGCTCGCCTGCTTTTCTGCATTTTATTTTCAAAACCTACAGTTTAGTTCATAAAACCTTGACAATGTAAAAACGTATAGGTAAACACGTAGATGTCCAATAGTGTACAGTTTGCCGTTTTACCAATCCATGTTTAGGAGACTTTTCCTTTAATTCATCCTTGTGGTAGACAAGGGTCAAGAGATACTACCTCCAGAAGAGTTCGCTGAAAAAAAAATTGAATGCGAGTACTTCGTGACAATTAAAGCAGTCCCGAGTTTTCACAGAAAAACATGTGGAAAAGTGAAACAGCGCTACTTTCATCTTGTTAAGAACTTAAGACTTCACTTAATTATTATTAGTATTACCTCCAAGGAGCAGATTGAAGGGTTTTCCTTCCGAGGAGGGGGTGGAGTGTTCCATATCCAATTCCCAATAGGCATTGTTTATTCAGTACACGCGCGTATAATTTGATTGGCTTGTTTTAACTTATTATTTTACTTCACACTACATGTATATGTCCTTCTGATATGAGTAACTCTCATATAGGTTTTCCCACAAATATAGTTTCTCAACATTCATTCTTTTTAAGCAGGTCAACTCTCTCTCTCTCTCTCTCTCTCTCTCTCTCTCTCTCTCTCTCTCTCTCTCTCTCAGACATGTACATGTATATGCATTCGCGATGATTTTGCACCGATTTAAAAATGACTCAGCTAAACAGAAGATGACAATAGCCCTTTCAAAGTTTAATGTCTGGTTCAACGTTCAATAGCAGATTAATAACTTCCTAAATGAAAATTTGAAGAAAAAAAATCGCCTTGTGTGATCTCAATCGAAGTAATTTTTCTAACAAGTCTACTTAAATCTTACAAATTATTTTTTGTCT